CTTTGCATTTATAAAAAGCGAAAAACGTTATTGTAGCTATAAGTAATGCTTTTTGCATCAAGATAATCACAAATCCCTTGAACGCGTGTTTTTTTGGGTGTGGAATGCGGCGCGGGCATGTTGTTTGGCTTTGGTGCTGGTGCAATTGTGTTGGGAAAGGTAGAGTTTAGGTGGGGGAAAAAATTTGCGGTCCAGACTTTTTTGATCAGACCGTGCCATGTTACTTGCAGGCAACCTTGGACAGCGATCTGGCGCCAGGCAATGGTTGGTTAGAGCGGCCCCGGGTGGTCGGGAAGGGAGCCAGGGAGGGAGCAGGAGGGAAAGAACAGACTCGCAGCAGCGCCATTAACATGACCAACAAACGTACACAGACCGCCCTCCTTTCCCCGAACGAGAGATCATAATATCGAGGAGAATTTGTGCAAATTGGACGTTGACGTCAAGAAGCCCGCTAATGGACGCCATCCAAGAAGAAATATGAAGCAAGGCCCGAGAGGCCGACCGGAGAAGGGAAGCAATTATGTAATGCCCAAATGAGGGTTTCGCTTCCCCAGCTTTTCCCCGGCAAACGGGAAAACTGGGGAACCAAACAGCCCATCAATTTGCGTTCCCGGGCCCGCTCTCCCGCATTCTCCAGTTGTCACCTCCAGCCTCGTCCAGTTTCTTCTGCCTGTCTTTGCCCGCCAACCCGCCAGGCCGGCGCCATCTGTGTTTCGGGGCGAGAACGGACGGGGGCGGGCTAGGAAGAAGCGAGAAGGGCAACTCGCTGATGAAAACCCAAAGTTTTGGCGGGAGTGTTCGTCCCGACCCACTATTAAGCAGCGGGCGTGAAACAGCCTGGGAGACTAACACCAGAGCACAGGGCAAAGTCAAGGAGAACAGAAGAACAAAAACGAAATCAAAAAGGCGGAAACTCCACTGTTCGGGCTTGTCCGTGTCTCGCTTGGCTCAGGGTCGCTGATCGGACCCATGCATAGCATGATGTTTGACGGGCCTGGGCTCGTCTCTTCCGGTCTAATTTCGGATGCTGGATTACATTCCTTATTTGCCGTGTCAGGGAGCCATCAATGTACCCCGGAATGCCTGTCTGGTCTCCCTTCTGATTGCCGACAATGCGTTGCCCCTTTCGGCCATCTCCAGACTGACTGGCTTATGTGGTCTCTTTTTTTCTTCTTTTTTTTTCTTTCTTTTTTTTTTTTTTTTTTTTTTTTTGCTCACCCCATTTTCCGAGATGAGTCGAACTTGAAGAAAAATCGTATCACACAACCCCACAAAGATCCGACGGGCTTGAAGTTAGTTGGCTGGGACCGTCGCGCGCAAAGCCCGACTGCTCGTCTGGCACCGCCCAGATTCCCATCCACTCTGGTATCCCGGGGAAGACGGCACGCTATAAGCCCAGGCGTCCTGGGCCGTTGGGCCAGATAAGACCGGGATCAGAGAAAATTTTCTGCCCCGGTACCAATGGTATCCGCCGGCTGGGTTTCTGGAGCAAGAGGGCCCCTCACCGTCTCCAGATTTGCGCCTGGGGTTGCTCTATCAAAGGCTAAGGCGGAAAATTCTCACGGATGTGAGGCTAGACGGAAGCAAGGGAATCCATGGCAACCTCCCTCTTGATGTGCTGTCTCTCTCTCGTCATCCCGGCTGCCTCATGGTGTGCCACGGAGGCACACCGCTAGATCCCGGATGGACTCCCTTTCCTTGCTTCTTTCCCCCTCTAGGATGCACCACGTCCTGTCAGCCTCCTTCACCCCCAATCCCCAGAACGTCCGCCAGAACTTGGCCGGTCGAGCCGCTAGAGCAGCCTATTGGACAAGCGGCAGTGCCAGTTGGGGCAGTATACTGCGCACAAATCCTTTTTGCCGCCTTTTCCCTCGCCACCTACAGGTCTCTGACCAGGCCAGCCAGTTTGCTCAACACCAAGGCAGAGTGGCTCGAGGCTTCTGCTCCGTGCTGTCGCACCAGGAAAAGGGGGCGTGAGACTGGCGAGATGCTCCCCGTCCGTGGCGGCTGCCGGGGCCAGGGCTGGGCCCTTGAGGGGGGTCTGGGGATTGGTTGGACTCCGTAGAACATTCCTGCCCGGATTCCACGCCGCATCAGCGCAGGGATCATGACTTTCGGCTGTTCTCCGAACACTGATCTCCCATGGGGCGGGCGTCCAAGTAGCGCCCACCACCACCACCACCACCACCAGTCGTGCCGCGCTGCTCACATCGCGCGCTGCTGCACCGCACCTTCTTCAACAAAAAAGCATGGGGAAGGAACGCCCCGTTTCCGCAGCTTCCCACCCCACAGCGATGGGCGGCGAGGACGTATTCGTAGACGTAGACCCTAGACAGGTCGCACACACACACAGAAGCAGCTCCAAAGGGATGGAGCGGACGGGGGGCATTGACGACGGCACGGACGACCCTCACCTTTCATTACAAAGGCGGTCCAGTGTACTTGGTGCCCTCCATATATGGACGCCATCCCGCCTCCCTCTCGCACCTGCCCACACCGTCCGTTTGCTTCCCCCAACACAACCGTCCCGCCCTTTTCTTATCTCCTGCCCACATCCATCTCACTGCTGGCGTCTGCAAGCTATACCAACCCCAACTTGAGCCAACACCAAACACCAAACCCACCCGGCTGCTCTTCAGACCCCACTCCAGAGTCTCCATCCACCATCACCACCAGCTCTGCTTCCACCCGACACCACCAAACAGTCCATCCAGGAATAGAACTACGCCTTTCAACCTCAGCCTCTACGTGGTCCAGTTCAGTTTTCAGCTGTCTGTCAGTGACGACTGCTCCCAATCTTCGCCACCATCCACTGTCATATCCGCTCGGTGCGCCGGCTCCATCTCGCACACGTGCGACATCCGGATCCGTGCGTCATACCTCGGCATCTCGCCAACATTGCACGGAGCGTCGTCGCCGAGATTGCTTGCTGCCAGTTGCATATTGCTGACTCCTTTCTCAGCTTCTTCTCAGCGACACTTGCAAAGATGCCCAGCCAACTAGCCATGCCGATCCCGGTTGCGCCCGGCCGCAGCAGCCTCCAGGTCTTCTCGTCGCAGGACCTCTACGCCAGCCTGAACAACTCCCTCGCATCAAAGTCCACCATGTCCGTATCGCACACCATCCAGGACCGCGACTACACCGTTCCCGCTCCCCCACCGCCGAGCCCCGTCAGCTTCCGCGTGCACCCGGATCAGCGACCGAAGCCGCCTCGCTCTTGAGCTTGCCAGCACCCACCCGGGCGGACACAGAGCCTTGATGCTACGAGAACGTCTTGGGAACAGCGGGCGGTTTTAATGGTAATTCTGTTTGAGATCATTTCAGATGGTTGCATGGAGTTTAGGGCACCCGATCATCAACGGGCGGGTTAATGGCTTCGGAAAAGGATACATAAAAATGCGTTGCTTTTAATATGAGAGGAATTCATTCCAGCACCAAGATAATAGCGCCCTGCACCACCTAGTGCAGTCCCACCTGTTGCCTGAGGGTTACATGTTGCATTAGTTTCGAGTGCCTGCCTCCTGTTCGCAGTGTCTGTGTGTTGCGGAGCATCAAGGCGGCCCTGGGTGGGTGCTGTTTGGGTGGCTCGCGCTTCGAGAAGGCTTTGAGGCAAACAATTCTGACTCTTATTTTTTGCATTTGGTATGAGGTGGAGGACAAGCATCACAGGCCAATCGACAGATGCTGCACAAGGGGGGCGCAGGGGGCCAGGCCCAGAATTCCACCAGTAACGGGGCGGGTTCAAGCTCTGGCACGTACGGAGGTGTGAGGGTTAAATAATCTGCAGTGGGGAGGTCACTCGTGAAGCGAGGGCAGGAGCCAGGGGTAGTGCACTAGCCAATCGATTAAAACGCGTGTGGGCGGATTCGAATTGGTGCTGCGATTGATGTTGAAAAAGAAATGTAGGCTAGGCCTTATTTG